TGTAATTGTTTGGCATCAATGTCTTGATGCCACAAACTGAGAATCAGACAAACTGTCCTAAGGAAAAGGCAAGCAAAACAAACCAACCAACACAAACCAGTAGTAAACCCCCAAAACCAGCTAGTGCAAACAGCATTAAATAATATCTCATAGAGTGTGAATTTACTCACCTATGATAGGAATATTCTTCTGATTTTTTTTAAGGGAGGTTTAAAAGCTGATTTAGTAGAGTTCACATACTCAACTTAGCACCAGAAAAAGGTCAGCTTCCTGCTTCTTCATCTTGCCATTTACCTCTTGGAGCTCAGTTTAACTCCAGTATGAGGGCTCAGCTCTTTAAGAAAGCATGAGGTTTTATGCTCGTAATTCTACAGCATTTCTCACAGGAACACCAAAAGCCTGCATAAGTCTTCCTGGTATTTCATATTTCTGCAGTTAATATAATAGCAGTCTACTCTGCATGGTTTGGATGTCCAGAAGAACAATTTTTAATTCTTGGGGACTTCTTATTCCATTGTAATAATCTATTATCTTCTATAATATCACATAAATGAATAGTGAAAATGAAAACCATCTAATCATACATATACAAGTGTCTCAGCAGCTTTAGTCACAATGAAAAAAGAAAAAGAAGGCAAAATGTAGGAGTAAGGGATAAACCTTGCTCTAGAACTGTTGTGCCAACTACATATTCTGATATCTTGTTTAAAAAATAGTTTGTTGATGCAGTTAAATGGTCTTCCTTTCCCTTGCACATTTTTGAGCTTCTGTCAATAGCCAAACTACTTAAAAGTACTGCTGAAGGGATTGTCTTATATGCTGGGATACATATAGCCCAGTTAAGGACCCTATCAAAAAGAGAAGGATGACACAGAAGTTGGGGGGGGTGGGGTGGGGGTGGAAAGGAGCAGAAATAGAATTGATGCAAAGACAAGCTTAAGGGAACAGGAAAGAAAAATGTGAGGAAAAGGAAGGGAAGAGAAAGTTTTTCAGAAGTGTTTTTTATTTCCCCAAAATAAATGTCTGCTACTCAAGTGAACACCAAGGGAACAAACAGACCAAGGGATAATTTTTCATCTTCCTGACTAAATGATATCTCATAATAAAAGCTCTTCCTCTGAAGATGCAAACAAAACCAGTACACAGTTTTATTTCACATTTCTACCAGCATTGCAGTGGGAGGGATGCAGTGTCTATCCCTAAGGCACTAAAATAGAGGTTTAATCTAGAGTCCCCACTCAGGTAGGAGATTATTCAAGAAAATTTAACCCACAAATGCCTGTAGCAATGTGGCTATGAACAGATGTTTTCCTTCATTCCACTGAGGAAATACCAGACCATTACCCCAGTGCTCTACCTGTGCCGAAGTATATCAGTGGCCAATTCACCTGCCCGCAGCACACCCTGTGATTCCATAATTCACTTCAGGCAAAGTCCAGGTGCAATCACACTGCCAATTTAAATTGTTTGAGATAAGGTGGTGGATTTTGTATGTAAGCAAATTAGGGAGTACTCACACAGAGCCAACAGAGGAATGGCTGAGTGATAGTTCTGGTGGTGTGGTAGAAGGAGCAGACGGAAACAACAGCTGCTTTTAGTAGCGACGCTAAACATGGAGATCTGTCAGGGGCTGTGCAAGCAAACTACTGTGTTTCACTGGCACATCTAATGCTGCAGGACAGGCTTTCACATTCTGACTCCCGTGGCAAATGAAAAGGCAAAAATAAATAGAATTTAATGTTGTCAAGTAGTTCTCCAAGGCAAACCAGCCTGGAGTTAAAAGAATAAAAAACCCTCTCTCCTTTAAAAATCCATCTACTCTTCCTGATTTATCCTGCAGAGAAATCATAATCCTGCAACCGATGAAACCACAGCATGTTACCTTGGTAACTGATAACTCAAATTCAGTCTTAAGAATACACTCAAAGGTCAGACTGCATGAAAACTTAGGCTAAGTATAATGTGTATAATTCACATGGAAAGGTAAGCACATGAAAAAAGTGAAAACACTGCTTCTGATTACAAAGATTCCATGCAATCAATATAAGCATGTTGGGGGAAAAAATGAATAAGATCATACAATGTCAACACTGAGACTGCATATATAAACTTATTGTCGTAACATTTTCTACCATCTAAAATGAACATGTGTACATTCTTTGACATATTTTTCATTGCTATATGCTAGCAAAAAAATTTTTATTGAAACAGTCAGGTTCAATATTATAAGCAAACATTTTATCCCATACTTTCAGACATACTTTTCAATGTTTTGGTCAAAACTCTGGGTATCCTCCCTTTTTTCCCCAGATTCACAGAGTGGTAGGGGTTGGGAGGGCCCTCTAGAGATCATCTAGTCCAACCCCCCTGCCAGAGCAGGAACAAGTCCAGGCGGCTTTTGAAAGTCTCCAGGGAGGGAGACTCCACCCCCCCTCTGGGCAGCCTGTTCCAGGGCTCTGTCACCTCACAGGAAAGAAGTGTTTGAGGCTGAACCTTTTATTTTCCAGTTTATGGACACTGTCCCTAGTCCTGTCACTGGACACCACTGAGAAGAGCCTGGCCCCATCCTCCTGACACCCACCCTTTAGGTATTGATAAGCACTGATAAGATCTCCCACTCAGCCTCCTCCAAGCTAAACAGACCCAGCTCCCTCAGCCTTTCCTCAGATGGAAGGTGCTCCAGGCCCTTAATCATCTCAGTGGTCCTATGCTGGACCCTCTCCAGTAGCTCCTTGTCCTTCTTGACCTGCGGAGCCCAGAACTCCAGGTGAGGCCTCACCAGCACAGAGTAGCAGGGGAGGATAACTTCCCTCAATTTGCTGGCCATGCTCTCATTAATGCATCCCAGGATGCCACTGGCCTTCTTGGCCATGAGGACACACTCTTGGCTCATGGTCATCCTGTGTTTTCTTTAAAATACAGCACAACTTTTCTTAGGATCAAGTCCAGCAGTGAAGCAATTTCAGACTCCAAGATCTATCTGCTCCCATACATTCGCAGTGTTAATGAAATACATTCATTATGTTCAAATTATGGTATAATATATAATAACAGGATACAGCAAGCCTTTTACATATGTAACGTTTGTGAACTGTATGTAGCATAAAATTCTGTAATTTTAGAAATTTTTCTATGGGTGTAAACACAGTATGATTTTATAACTAGGAAAAAGTTATGAACCCACACAACTAGGCTTCAAATATAAAACGGAACAGAATTAAGACAGAATTCATAATCTTAGACTTTCAACCTCTATGTAGGTGCTTCACGGCGCATCCTCAGGGCTTTCAGAGGAAGATGCAGCGAAACACAAATAAAACCAGACTCTCAAAGGGAAGTCAAGCATGAAAAATTCTGGCCCCAAAACCAATGGTTTGGAAAACCATTAGGCAGCCAACTTTGGCACACACCTGGACGGTTCTTCAGAAAGCCCCATCTTTTAAGTTAGTCCTATAAAAGAAAGCAATTTTAAGACATCTCTATTTCTGCATGACCTTGAAATTCCTGTAAGCTGTCAAAGGCACTACACAATGCCCTCATGAAAACATCATTAGGAAACGTCTTCCCCAAAAAGTAGGACATGAAAACGAAGTGATCTGTCCCACAAATCTCCTGCAGTTTCCACATGATAGGGTGGTTGAATAACTCTCAGCACAACTCAACAGAAGCACTTGACTCCAGTCTCACAGAACGGCATTTGGACTTATTTAAGAGACACAGGGAAGGCCATGAAATGAGGGAAAAAGAGAAGAATTTATTCCAGTGGCATAACATCTTGATACTTTTTGTGTCCTTGGCCTGTCAGCTCCAGAAGATAACTCCTCAGCTGAAACACATCTATAATTTTCTAACCATTACAATTACCGTTACTGCTTTGCAAGCGGTACCTTCCACTCTGTTTGACGACTGCTTATTACAGTACTTAAATGGAAGTAACTTTTAAGTTTTTTTGACTCTGTGAGCTAAAAGCTCTAAAAAATATTTCATTTGCCTGTGTAGGGTGCGAGCCTGAATCACAGCTAAGAGCACACTTTTTGATAACTACAGTGAAAGACTCAAGTGGATTAGTTATATATATTCCACGGCTTATACACAATAACAGAGGACATGTTTGGGAAGTGGAAGAGAGTGAAGGAAGAGTATGTAAACATTCATGTTGCTAAGGGAAACATATAAAGGAAAATACAAGATAAAATACACAAAAAGGCCAAAATTATACAAAGCTCCAAAAAATAAAGTGGTTGTAGGGTTTGTTTGTTTATTTAACTGAAGAATGGCACAAGGGTTGGTTCTGATCTCCTCATATTTGGACTACCACCATCCTCACTAAGGAGCTGCTTCATCTGTTGCAATACGCACATTAGAAAGTCTCATCAGACTTATGAAGCAGATCGAATTATGCTTAGAGATGGCACTATGGAATGTAGCCATCGGAGAAGATTAGAAGATATGGTGACAAGGACCTGCTGTGGACAGAGTTTTCTTCACATGATCTGATGGAATCACTCTACTTAGCCTCCAATATTGATAACTGTATTCAGGGAAAAAATAATTTTAGCAAATCCTAAACCAAGCATCAGTATATCACTTCAGAAAAGTGGAAGGGTTTACAGGAGAATGACACTGAAACAGGATGTTCACTTTCCTTAAAAGTTTCCTATGTGGTAAGACACAGGTTTTTTTTTTTTTTCCCCCAAAATAATATATTCTAGTCTAATCTAAAATAAATTAAAATACATCAGCCTTCAAAGGAAGACATTGTGATTTCAAAAGTTTTCATTGTAGCACAAAAAATTGATCACGGCAAGCTGTTTCAGCACACAATGGAGCTGTAATTTGATAAATAGCCTTCCATCATTCAAGGCTACAACTGTGCAAAACCTTGCTGTCAGCACTCTCATCAAAGATACTATTGACTCGTCTCAATATAATTTTTCTGTGACTTTTCCCACTTTTATTTATTCTAGTCAATGATCAAGGGAAAAAAAAAGGTTGCTTACCACCTGTATGCAACACCTTGCAATCTGCTGCTGAAGTATCACTTTCACCCTCTTTAATGCTGCTGATGTTGTCTTTTTCAAGTAGTCTGTCCACCATGGCGATAACACAGTTTAAACTTTTTCCCACATTGGCCCACACCCTGTCCTGAAGAAAGCATAATTATCACTGCACATTATTGCATAAGAAAACAAAGAGACAATACTAACTTCTTATTAACACCTTACAGTGGAGACAAAGACATGCAAATTATCAGAAATTTTACTAGAAATATTAGGTGTCAGCATATTACCATTTTTCTCATTCTGCAGCCTACTACCAACTTAAGCCTTTTTTTCCACAAAGTTTTTTCTTGTGGTATGACTGAATTGAAACTGCGTTTTTTAGATAGTGGAAAAACGTATTCAAACTCCACAAGAAAATGCATGCAAAGTTTCAGGTCCAATCACAAAGAACTGAGCAGTTTGCCAAACCACATCTCATGTGCAACTGCCCTTTTTGCCATAGTACATGACAACCCTTTTTGATAAATTAACATACCCTCTATTTTATCACATCGTTTACTCTGTTAAAGCAAGTGTAAAATTAAAGGACTACCATTAGAAACCTGCTGTCATGACATGTTCATTAGATAAGACAATTACACCTCTCACACAAACTGCAACCTTCACACCTGAGTTTATAATAAATATGAGGATTACTGAGGTAATAGAGTGATCAAAGACAACTTGATTCTGTACAAGCAGAGAACAAAAGAGATAATGTGGAGTGAAAGAGTGAGATGTTATGGAACAGAGATACTGGAAGGGTCTTTCAGGTGCTGGATGCAGCAGAAATCTAAACTCTTGCAACGACTTTTGTGGGGCTGAATAAGAAAAAGGAAAAAACCAAGCCATACAAGAAACGAGGCTGTAAGCAAGGCTAGCAATCGGATTAAAACCAAAACATAACAAACACCAATATACACGTTTTAATGCTGAATCATTCTGAAACTAAAGCAGAGCAACCAGAGTTTGCTTGAGGGTAAAAAATAGGAAGATAATATCACTGCTTTTCATTCTACTTTATGATATAATAGCCAGAAGCATTATGTATACATCAGGCGTAAAATGAAGTTGCAAAAGACAATAAGCATAAAGGTTGAATAAAGCTGAAAATGCAGAAAAATGCCATAGTTCCATATAAATAGTGGTAGTTCTAACAACTATATGTGAATCTGAGGACACACCCCATGACAAGCAGGCACCCTGCCCTGAGGGACATGGCGGGGGTCTGCAGACAGAAGCACGTACTTGCTGAAACTGTACAGCAACACATATCCTCTCCTTCAGCTCCCCAAACCTGATTCCTGGAATGATCTTTTAGGGCTGCCTTAAGGACCAATAAGCATCTAGTGTTCCAGGTGGATGTAGAAACTATGGTTTGATCCTCTCCCTAGATAGACCCATGCCTTAACCATACTATGAGAAAGGTATCATTGATTTACAAGAGGCAAGAAGCTGGTCACTCTTGCAGAACTGTGCTTAATCCAATTTTTTTTCTTTTTTTTTTTTTTTTTAAGTACTGCATGTACAGTGTAACGTGTGGAAATATCTGCACCTGTACACATGAAACAAACCATTAGACACGTGCCTATCTGATATTCACATGCATATATACAATTTAAAGCCAAAGACAGAGGACAGGTATAGATACCTCCAAAAATTTCATCTGTATGTACCTCAAAGCATTCCTGAAAAATATTTAGAATACAGGTGAATGGATTCATTTCCACTACCCACAAGTATCATTTTCAGGAGAAGGATTCTACGAAGAGCAATGAAACACTGCAGATAGTAAAAACTCTGGACCCAAACAGCTGCAAGTTTTACCAGAGAATAGAAAGGAAGTTGAAGCTTTCCAGTCACTGAAGTTGCTGAGGTATATGAACTCAAGATGCTCAGCCGTGGCTGCAGCAAAGTAATTTCCCTTTCCTCTCTCAGCTGGGGCAGGTTAATCCCAACACGAAGAGTGTTAAGCTCCTAATGAGGATCCGGAGTTATTGCACAAGCAACACAAATATGAGCCCTTGTTTCATTTTGGAAAGAACTCTTTCCTCTTTTCAAACCAACTGTTAACATAGCGTTGAGATAATGTCTATACAATATTCACATAAACATTCCCTGAGGGTTTAGAAGGAAAATCATAAACATCTGTTGACAGAAAGCTCATTCTTATTCTGGCTTTTTTTACATATGGGCAAGAGAAAGGGAGCAAGGGCATTTTTTCAATTTGCCTAAGAACTACCTCACAAGGCATCATTTCGAAGCATGTGCCAGGTTAAAGGAAAAAATATACTCCCCAGCCTCTTAAGTAAGCATTCTTATAAACCCTCTATGTGAAGTGAGGGATAAGAGGAAAGTCTTATTTCTTGATACACTATAGTAGTAAGACCCTAGATTCCAAAGTAGGATGCTTCTCCCTTGATGCTAGTTTTCCAACTAGTCACTGTGGAGCTAATTGGATGGTAAGTTTACTACTGTAGTGTGAAAGAACAAGAGAAACAAGGTCTCTGTCTCCCTCTCATTACTGTTTCTTTAAGCTCAAAAGTCAAGCCAATGGCAGGGAAGATGGAAATCTGTAACAGCGCTTTACCCCACTGGGACAAGGCAGCGGCACGTTGACATCTTCAACTTCTTCCAAATTTCAGAAGCCATTTGGGACATTAAGGATTCTCAGCACACCCTAGTTAGGTGTTACTAGTTAGAAATGTTCCTAGTGGCACTTCTCTTGCTGCCTTTGCTGTGGTACTGGCAGGCATACATGCATACTCAAAATGATCTCCGTGAAAAAAAAAGCTAGGCCTTGGCATCAAAGCAAGCTGGGCACATTTCTTAGGACTTTTAAAAATGAACCTATAAAATAATTCCCTTTTGTTCACCCAATTCAAAAAATATAATTAATTTCTATCTGCTCTGAAAGTATTATTAAAAGGCAATTCAACCCCCTCATTTCATAGAGCTGGAGTACAAACCGTTTTCCTGTTATTGCAGCCGACTGGATGCACTCCTAAGCACTGCTGGCCAGTAAAGTCCCAAAGGCGGTCTTTTTGGGTTTTTTAAAGGATTCTCAGGCTTTCTAAATTCATTACATTCATTATACTGTGGGTTGACAGCCATATATTACTTGGTATTACCAGGCTGGATTAACGGGCCAAAGCCAACTGTATGAGGTTCAAAGCAGCCAAGTGCTGGGTCCTGCACTTACTTGGGTCATAACAAGCCCATGCTACAATGCTACAGGCTTGGGGATGGCTGGCTGGAAAGCTGCCCAGTGGAAAAGGACCTGAGAGTGTTGGTCAACAGACAGCTGAGAATAAGCCAGCAGTATGCCCAGGTGGCCAAGAAGGGTTGAAAAAAAGGGTTGTCAGGCACTGGAACAGGCTGCCTAGGCAGGTGGTTGAGTCACCATCCCTGAAGGTATTTAAAAGATGTATGGACTTAGGAATGTGGTTTTGTGGTAGACTTGGCAGTGTTAGGTTAATGGCTGAACTTGATTTTAAAGGTCTTTTCCAACCTAAAAGATTTTATGATTCTATGATTAAGATCCTTTTGTGGTATGCTGATAAAGTAATTAACTAATGCGCATGATTAACACCGTTGGTGTTGATGTGACAGTGCTCTGGAATGGCATATATTGCACACAGGTCGGTATTTCAGACCCGTGTCTAAGTACTGTGTCAGTATTTGTACGTAACTTATCGGAAATGTCATTTTATCTGTTTTTTGTAGCTCAACCACATTAAGTAGTCAGTCAGAAATGTAGAACAGAAACTGCTCCAACTGGTAATTTGCCCACTTTTTCTTGTATTATACATGACAACATGCTTTGTTCCCTCCTGCAGGGAGGTTCTAGGAGAGCAGAAGCAGCTGGCAACAGAAGAGAATATCTTACCCAGAGGCAACCGAAAACTCTCAAGTTAAATATTTTTCCTTCAACAGTCATGCTTTACTACCACCTACATGTAGTGAACCAATGTAAATAGCTCAATCCATACTGCTGTCAGCTACTCTAGGTTGAATATTTGTACTTGGTATTAAAGAACAGAGGTGCAACACAGTATTGCTATTGAGAGAAGGCTTTTTGGAAAACAGTGGTCACTCAGTGAAAGGACACGGCACACAGTTAAGAAATTAGGTGTTATTCCTTAAAGTTAAATTTGAATGCCAGGAAAGGGGGTTAGATCTCACCTAGCTTTCAAAAACTGTTTGAATTCACTTCTGTGATGGTCACAAGGCAATGCAGTTACTGGGAGTGGATGGAACAGGGTCAGCTTAAAGAACAGTTGGACATTACTGATGGTGATTTCTGGCACACTAAAACTGAAATTCCAATTGTAAAATGCAACTCTAGTGCTTGGTAACAGTGGTGTGGGGGGGAAACAACAAAGACGAATACAGTACTGTGCATACAAAGCAATGTATCTCCAAGTTTGTTTCCTGTATAATTGACTTTCAGAGTAGATTAAGCATTTTTTTCCAAATGTTATGTGCATTTTTTTTCTTTCTCTTTTCATCGTGCTAATGACAATTTGATCAGCAACTTGAATTATTCATTACCTCCATTGACAGAAATAACTGAAAAATAACAGAAGCCTAATCTTTCAAATTGAGATAAGATTTATACTGTCTTAAGTTTGACAGTGACTCTGATTCAGTTTAACTTAGACAATATTTAAAGATACACTTAAATTTTAACCAAGCAGGTAATCTTACTAATTCAGGGTAAAAAATAGATACACTTTAAACTAATGTGCTTATATGTTTTAATAGTTCATGACCATGAACCTGGCAGAAATAATTAAAAAAACCCTAATAATAATAATTGAATAATAATGAAATACAATAAAGCAAGCTTCTCTGCAGACACAGAAGTACTTAATGAAAATACTTGCACAAAAATGCTATTTTTCCAATGTAAAATGTCTCCCTTCTATCAAATCTATTGTGATATTTATTTTTCTGAATGCTTCACCAGCTGGAAACAAACATTTTGTCTTTCATTTCAAGGAAAGAAGAATTATTCTAGCTCCTCAGTTGAGAAAATATGGAAAAGTGAATGCAAGGCTCTAAAACCAGAAGAGAAATAAAAGAATGAGTTATTGTTTAAATCTCATGACTAGTTAATGCATGGGGTTGGAGACAATTGTCTTTTCACTAGAAGAAATACATTCTTTTTCCCTTATTTGTGGTATAGATAAAAATTACAGTTCAGGTGTAAGTACTGTAGCTCACACAAGTTATTAATTATTTACAATAGAGATTAATATGCTGGCATCCTTTACATTTATGAGAATACAGTGATGAACTGAAAGCATGAGCCTGAACTGAATAAAAATAGCTTGAGTTCAGGGTCTAACAAAGAAGCAGATCTATTACGAACACAGCCACCAAAATAATTAATTTACAAAATCTCAGCCATATAAATAATACACATCTTTGAAAGATATGCTACGAATGTTAAAATCTAAAAGCCATGTTTAATTCTTTCATACAATCTCAGACATCCTCTAAGGACAGAATCTAAGGGAAAACAGCCCGGTTTTGCTGAGGGTTAATTCATGTGTATTTAAACTATTTATATTCCATGTTGGGGGGGGAGTGAATAATAATTTTCCCTCATAATAGCATATGCTGTTCCAGTCCCCTTAAATTTGTTTAACTAGGAAAAAGAACTCAAGTAAGAGCAAAGACAGACTATTTTCCTATCTGGGCAAGAAGATATTCACCATCCTCACTGTTAAAATGCACAACCACGCAGTCACACGGAAGGACACCGTATTTGGGAACATTTTTTCAAGTTAGTTTCAAAACAGACAATGCATCTGAAAAATATTATTTCATGGGTTTGCACTCCCTTCCCCTCACCAATGAGATGTGACAAGGACACTTAGGGCTTGTATTGTTTATGCTGATTTGTAGGGTTTAGGACTGAATGCCAACCAAGAGTTTCTGACTACTTACCCACTCCTCATCATCATACTCAGAATGATGCGGTATAGAGTCCTGTCTTTTAATCTGAGAAGGATGATCCTGATGCTGTAAATCATCCCCCTCTTCTGCACTGTTTCTAGGCACAGCTGGTTTCTTGAGGACACAGCCAGGCCGGGCTGTGTATAGTGCTAGAAGGGCACTTCTGACCAGCTGATCCTTAAATGCATGTACAAACAACTCTGTCTGGGGGAAAAAAAAAAAAAAAAAAAAGAACAAATGAAAAGGTTAGACCACAGAATGCAAAACATAGCTATTATAACATTGAATTACCCTTAGGCAGAGGGAATATTTGTTTCAGGCCAGTCTGAGAGGCAGAAGACAAAGCAGATCAACAAACTATGAGGAAAAACTCAAGGGTTTTTAGGACATCATATTCTATAATCACATTGTTTTAAGGACTAACAGAAAATTACAGTATCTGTCATAGAGATCATCTTTTCACACGATCCTTTTTTGAGTTCCACATTTTGCTTGCAGAGACGAGCCTCTGCAAGAACCAGTTCCAAGAGTAACTAACCACTGCTCAATAACTTCCGAGTAAGTATCAGAAAAAAACGTAGTTAATAAATTTAAGGATCTCCTTAAATAAAAACACACCATTGCACTGCTGAGATTGCAGTATCTGCAAAAGCAGTGTTTCCAGAGAAAAATTTTGGTACGTGTAGGTATCAACCCAGATTATCAGGGCAGGTGATGACATATGATTTCTAGCTTTATTTTATTTATTTTTGAAGAAAGAAAACCCTGAAGTAGTTTTTTTCCCCAGGTTCTCTCAAGATGTTATTCAATCACTGTACCATTTTTCTACATCCTTCTTGTTGACTGTGACAGCTGGAAGTTTACCATATTTTTAAAAACCTCCAACCTCCCTGCATTATTTGTCTTCAAGAAAAGGACAATGTTTTCTGCATATGGGCTTTCTCATCTCTAGACTGTTGCCACGTAACAGCACTTGCCATTGACACCAGTCTGCCACACAAGCCCATCTCCTACAGTGACACACAACATGTGGCCCTGCCTCCACTACTCCCCTAAGGTAGGAGGCTGACACAACTTACTCCACGGGAGAGGATGAGGTGCAAGGACCTGATCCCTTTCACTACAGGGTGCTGACCACTAGCAAAGCCGCAGTGACAGACAGCTGGGAGTGTCACATGTTTGGTTATTTCAACAACACTCAACAGGGTCCATCTGTCAGAGTGGGGAGAGCGTGCACCCTGCCGCTCTCCACATCCCACCCAGGCTGCCAGAGCTCCTTCCGCCAGACAGAGGCCATGGTTCACAGGTGATGATGAAAGTGTGTTTTGCATTTCTTTCACAGCACAATTACCTGAATTTATTTATCCCAGGTCAGTGGGATTTAGCTGCCTTCTGATTCATTCAGAACACAGTGCACTGTCATGTGCAGATCACACAATCTTAATTAAACAGGCACGCAGAAAAGTATGTAGGCAGAAGTCAGAGCAACCAGCCTGAACAAGCAGTCACACAAAGCTAGGAAGCACTAGAAATAAAGGTTTGCCAGCCAAGCTTCATCAGCCCTTGTGTGCTTCTTATGCAAAAACTGGAGGAGAAGTAGCAAGAAACTCCAAACCAAACACATTTCAAGCGTTGGCAACTATCTCCCTGGGAATCTTTCTCCTAGTTTCGGCACTTCTTATTTCTATTCTCATCCCACCCTTTTTTGCTAGTGCTTGCTCCCTTTCCGTATGCTTCTACTCTTACTCAGTCTATTTTTCTTGCTTTTCTGCCTCAATAGCCCCTCAGAAGTTTCCTGAGATTTAGACTACCATGCTCTAAATAATTGATGGTTTTCTTAAAGCTCCAGCTGCTGGGTTAGGTACCTGCTTGACAAGTTTCTGCTTTTTCCCATTTTCAGGATCTTTAGGAAAAAGGTATTTTGGATCCTTAATAGTTGCACATAGAAAGGCTGAAATTTACACAAGAGTCTTAAAAATAAGAATCTTAGGGATATCTGAGCTAAGTTATAATTTTTAAACCAACATCAGGACTTCATTCAGACCCGATTTAGGATTCTTCAGTGATTAGGCTTGGCAACACTATTCACCTCCCTGGCAGTTTTACCAGACCCATTCTATCTCCTCCTTCCTATTGAGGTGCCTGAGGGAAAGGGTACTTAAACAGAGGCAGTTTTCTTATATTAAATTGAAAGTGGGGAGGTTTAGATTAAATATCAGGAAGAAGCTCTTCCCGGAGAGGGTGGTGAGGCACTGGAACAGGTTGCCCAGAGAAGCTGTGGATGCCCCATCGCTGGAAGTGTTCAAGGCCAGGCTGGATGAGGTTTTGAGCAACCTGGTCTAGTGGAAGGTGTCCCTGCCCATGGCAGGGGGGTTGGAACTGGATGATCATGAAGGTCGCTTCCAACCCAAACCATTCTGTGATTCTATATGAAGCTTTTCAGGACTGCCTCATGGTAGTCCTGACCTGCACTATGGGACAATTTCAGTTTCCTACATTTCTAGCCTGCTCAGAGAACACATAGTCTTTAGGGAATATTGCTAGCAAACACTACCAATCCTCTACAAACAGGCACAGTGAGACTCATGGAGTTGTCTCTTCTTGCATGGTTACAGTAGAGCTCCTCTTCAAGACTATTCTACAGTTTGGTATCAACAGAGTCCAAACTACTTGTCTGTCCTTAGAAATGACAACATCATGGTTTTGCTGAGCTTTTTTTTGTACCTTCCCTCCCACACAAATTCTGCTTTTTTCAGGTCTCTGCATCAGACCTAGTAGACTCAGAAAAGCTTTAAATTTCAGAAAATTTTAAATATTGGACAACTTAAGGGAAGGAATGCCCACTATGACTGCAATTATATTATGTAACTACTTGGAAAGTTTAAGTAATTTATTTAATATAAATATTTTATAGGAAAAAATATTTTAAAAAGCAAACTGGCATGAAAGCAAACCTCCATTTTTTCACACAGAGACTAAAATGCTTCTGTAATTAAATTCTATTCAGGGATTCCATTGGTTTAACACCAATCTACATTTTAACTGCATTTTCTTACAGCTCAATACAGCTAAATTTGCAGAACATCACTATTTATAAAATTGTATTGAAATCACAAACTAAGTCTGTACAAAGAAATGAAAACTTTGCAAATTCTTTTAGATACTCGACTAAAGAATATTTCTGCAAACAAAGATAGGCATAGCTGGATAATAAATTTATCAAGCCTTCTGCAAGCTGCAAATGCTGATACACTTGTCGACAGCTAAAGGCTTCCTTAATCAATTAACAGAACGTCTTGATAAAAGGTTAGTCTCAGGAAAACATTATAGTAAATTGCAAATCATATATGGAGAAGTAAAACCATGCTTAATATAAAAAAATAAGCTCAATTTAAGAAGCAGCAGTGGAATTATTTGATTTTATTTTCCACGTTCAGTGCATGTAGCCAGTCCTTCCATTTCTAACACAAATACTTCACTGTAACTCACATTACTGGTACCTCAGATATACTCACTGCTACCTGATGTTTTCAGAAAGATATATTCTATATATCAAGCTTAACATCTTAAAATAAAGAATGATACGTTTTTTAATAAACCTGAGGAATCTAATCACCAGGCAAATCATTTTTATAGCTTCTTCAAACAGCTATCTAATTTCTTAAATTCTATCAAGGTAAAATGCAAGGGAACATCTATTTTTTACATAAAAAAGCATACAAAGTGTGGGAGAGCAGAAGCATCTCACATGCCTCAAGAATACAGGTAAGCATCACATCATTCTACCCAGAAGAGCATGCCAACCTATCTTAAATATAACCAGGGACACACTGTTAGTCTCAGTTCTCCCATACTGTACCAGATTATACAGAGAGGTTATTTTAGGATATCAAGATGATGCTTTGCATTAACCATAAGGGATCTAAACTGCAGCACCACGTGGGTTCATTCAATCTGGGTTTTTGAAACAATATCGCCCTTTCCTGAAGGTGTTTCATGGTCTTTCCTTTCTGCCCCAGATCTCTCCCCCCATTCTTGACAAGCAGCTGTCCCTCCACAGTAGTTTCCTCAGCAATGGTCTCACCCTCTTTCTCAGTTATCACCTTCTCCTCAGGGTAAATTTGGGAATGGGGAAGCAGGCATTCAACTGTTCATGCAGCAGTTGTTCAGACAATTGGATTAATCTCTTCCAAGCAAAAGGTGGAGGCTAGGTAGAAACTATAGCCTGTCAGGTGGACTGCATTGGGTAAGACTCCTGCTGCCACTTCTGGGAACTGGTGCCGATATACTAACCAGCAATTTAATCCTGGCCCTGAAAAGTCGATGTAAACTAAGTCACCAGCTATAAGTTTAAAATAGCTGTGACTTTTTCAAAGCGAGTGGATTGTGTCTTTTGACCCTCTTATGTGGTCAGTCTCTCCAACAGGCCATGGTTCAAACAGTGGGTTAGTATCAGAGCTGCCTGCAGCCACTCTAAAATGTCACTCCTCCGGCCAAGACAGGCGAAGGTGGGAAGTGCAAAGCAAATGGCTATAGCTAACATACAAATTCTTTAACAACCAGGTCTTCAATCTTCAGAACAAACACCACTTTGTATGATTTGCTTTACTTGCGCAGGCATTATTTCTTTGAACTAACCACTAACAGAGCAGCTCCACCTTTTCTATGTGCAGCTAAAAATGGCCTCCCCTTCAGTACTACATGGAAAGGTATGCTATAAGAGCCACACACACAAAAAAACCCCACAACTAAATTATTCTTTCCTAAATTATACTTTCCTATAGTATCCCTGACATTCACAGCGACTCCAATATTCACAGAGTTACTGTGGATTTACACATCTGTAACTGAGGGCAACGTTTATCTCCCCCGTGGCTCCAATGCAATGTCTTCACAGTATGTGGCTGAGCTCAATATTCAGATTTGAAACTCGCCCATTGAACGATGTACTACTGGGATAATAGTGCTCAACAGACCACAGGGGTTGCCACTTCCCAATAGCTGAAGATATATTGAAACGGTTATTGATAGTGTTATTAAGCCATACTGAGATCACATTACAGAAGGTATGGCCCATGAAGCGATGGGAAACTTTTTTGCCAACCCCTCTGGTCATAGTTCTAGTGCTTAATATTTTTATAGGATAACATATGCTTAAAAGTACTTCAGACTTCAGCTAATCTCCAATATCACCCTGTGAGACAGGTGGAAAACATTATCTTCCTTCATTTAGAGCTAAAGAAACTAAGATGAGGAAAGGCCTACGGCTACAGAGGAATATAACAGGAGAAAGAGGATTAAAATTGGAGACCTACTGGCGCCAACTGCCTAGCTTCTCCTCCCAGACTGCATCACCATTTCGGGTCATGCTATTATTCTAAACCTTATGCACAAACCTGTATTGAAGAACCTCCCCACAAGTAGAAGTTGGAAATATCAGAGAATGAGCAATAAAATAACCGGTTATCACACCACAATATTATTTACAATAACCTGTTTTTCATAAACGTCAGTATGTGGTCACCAGAGGATAACAAAGACACATGAAATTAAATTAATTATACTTTCAAATAAAAACAACATTTATAGATTTCATTAGTTTTCTACACGGAAAGCCTACAGAAATGCTAAATAATATACGTTTTCTGATAGCAACATTTTGAAGCTTATTTTAGCAAAGCTTATTTAACATTTCCCGATGCCATGAAAGTTAATTTATGCAGAAAAAAACCCCAGCAGTTAGAGACTTGGTTATTCCATTTTCCATTGCAGTGAAGATTTGAATCTTACTTTTTCTGAAAGCATCTTTAAAGAATTTTTCAAGCTGTCTGGAGAATGCTGGCTTGCAGAATTAAGCAGCAGGTCTGCATGGCTTGATATGAGAGGTTGTAGATGATTGATGTTGCTGAGAACTTCTTTTGCCTTGGCTGTGTTTTCAGGTGAATAGTAAATACATTGGTATCCAGTACTGTAGAAACAGAGAAAAAGCACAATAAGTCAAAATAATTTCTTCCATTAATAGCAAAGTTTAATGTGCTAAAAATCTTACCACCAGGTTTTGCCAAAAAATGACAGACACCTGAACTTCACTGACACCACTGAAATGCTCCTTCCTTTAAGGGTAAAAACAAATCCTTGCTTGAACAGGAGAGGACAACAGACTGCCCACCACCAAATGCTCCAAGTAGTACTGTTCAACTTAATCATCCCTTTAAGTGATTCAACTTAACATAAGAAAAAGATTTTTTTTTTTTTTAATGTAATTCAGGAGAAGCAAAAGGTTTGACCAAGTCAGTTAATAATCACAAAGAGCATAAGGCTCCTTATTTTTCCAACTGAACTCCCCATCACATTATTAACTACCTCACCAAGTCTTTCAAAATGAGCCATTAACATACAATTGACCAGTGGCCCACACTATGTTTCCATTAGCATCAATGATGTCCAGGAAGTGGTGAGAACCAGTTATCTCCAATAAAAGCTATGTGTCTGATTTGCAAGAAAAGACACAGAAATGGGGTGTGGAGTTAATTACCACAAAACCATACTGCATGTTGCAGATGCATACTGCATCTTCCTACTTCCCTTTTAACTGTTCACAAACTACTGCAATTCTTTTGCATGACTTCTTTTCCTATCCCTCGGGGTTTTTTTCCCCCAACACTTACTAATTATGCAATATCCTCTCATACCATTACTCCAAAATACTATTCCAGACAACAAGCACACACCTACTGGTTCTTCGCTGCAGGATACATCTCCCCACCTGAAACTCCTGTGCATAATCCTTCTCTTTACAAAGCCCTGCTTCAGTCTTTCAGAGAAACTAACCTAAATCTTTTTTGGTTCCAGATTAACCTACAACGTTAACACAGGGAAAAAAGGTAACCAAGCAACACCTGGAACATTACCAATACCAGAGCAATGTACATACTACTCCCCAGTTGGTTCTGTATATATCTCCCTTCTTTCCATCACACATCCTTCAGTCTCTTCCACCCTTTCCCCACTGACTTGATTTTTCTTAATTTCACATATCAAGACCTGAATTGTGACACTCGTGCAATCCTTTGAACTTCAGGCATTGCTTTTCATTTCAGTCTTTTTCCAGATCTCTTCACTCCCCCATTTCCCCTTTGTATCTTCTAGTGTCCCTTCCAGTTTCTCCTCATTAGTTTTCTACAAATTAGAAATTAAATTTAATTCAATAAAGGACATATGCAAGGCACATTTAGAAGTTCAAATGATGTGACTTCCATAAAACTTAAAAGGTTTAAGTCTTTTGGCAAACAAGGATAGATTCAAGCAGTCGTCAAATTAAGCCTCCTGCTTAGATACCTTGCTGAGTTACAGTTCTGTATTCCACAATACCTCATACTCTTTTTCTGCCTTTCACCAATGCCTCAATTTTTAGACACAATTCTTTGTAGAGGCAGTCAGGATGAATGGTATCTGAGTCAGCAGAGCTTTGCCATGATCAGTCACGCTACCAGCCACTCCAAAATTACTATGTGTGTCTAGTTCACAGTCCATTACGTGAGTTGCTAGACTGCTGAGTGCAGAGGTCAGAATTCTGAATAGTTCAACAAAATGAATCATATAGACAGTCTTTTCTAATGAGCTGTGGGGAAAAAAAAAAATCCTTGCCCCTCTGAGAAATAAGGAAATGGCCACAGCTCTGCTTTCAAGGTGGCAACACTGTTAGTGAAATGAAATTCCAAAGTTAGATATATGTCTACATTCACTACAACTCTCAAGCTGTCAGACTCAGTAGACAGAGCTGGGACAAAAAGTAATAGTCTATGTTAATTGTAGTGAAGACACAGTCTTAAAAGTCTTGATACTTCACAGCACTGAATGATGTTCTCCAATTCCCCTTCAGACTTCTCCCTCCCTTTATCCAACAGCCGTTTTGCAGGCTAAATCTGACTAAAACCGTTATCACGCTCACCATGCACACACTCCTTCCTGGGATTCCCTTCAGCCTTTAATTCCCAGATCATTTTCACTGATCTCCCACAGCTCTAAGCTTCAGTGAATATTGCTGCAGAGAAGCTAGAGACAACGCTGTAAGAAAAGAATGAGGGAAGAGAGATACTAAACCTGTGGGTAGTTCTCATTCTAAAGTCAATCACAGCTTTTAAATAAAGGAAAAAGAGAGAATGACTCTTTCTTCAGAAGGAAGTGTTTGATCAGGCTACATTATTTGGCTAATCTTAACATTTTCTGACACCCAGAAAGCATGAGATGACTCCAAATATTCAGTTTCTTTCAGAATTTGAGGGCAAATTCCCTTCTCCCTTCAAGAAAGTAACTATTTTCCAGAAAGAACATGTTTGCGAGTGTCTGAAATTTCTAATTGTCATGTCTCAACACTGTCGCATCTAAGTTTAGCCTGAGATTTGCTACAGCTTTACCATTCATGAAACACATGACTATTTCCAATTAAATTAAATTAGTTTCCTTACAACTATTTTTAGAGCTTGCTGCCGCATATAGCTACGGTATATAAGTAGTATTACAAGAAGCAGCTGCCGATAGAACATACAGAGAAACTTTTTACAGGTGTCCTAATGCAGAAACTAGATGGAGTTATAAATATGAAGTAACTTTACCATTAGGGCAAAGGCCACATGGGTAGGTCCAGTCCAGGAAGTCAGTGGCACTTTGAAAATCTACCTCTGATATGTAAAATATATTATTAGTCAGGTACCTTTTGAAAAATATAATAATGTCTTCTGGGTTAAGTCTCAAAGCTTTTACTAAGCACATAAAATCACACTTAATCACTTCCATACATTGGCACTACCATTAACTATGTACACATACCTGCCAGTGGTCATTTCAGTTTCAAAATGCTTTAATTACATTTTCATGTAATTTGAATAAAGATTACATTGACTACATCTGCAATTTTAACTCTAAATTAACAAAGTTTTTGCCTGAGAATAAATAGTGCAATATGCTAAATGTCTAATTTTTAATGACGCTCCAAGAAACTCCACTCCTGCTGTTAACTGAGTAATTCGTGTGACTGAGTTAAATTGTCACCATCTGGGGCTGGGTTAAATTCTTTCAGCAATGAACATTTGACCTCACATTTTTCACAGTCAAAACTGCAGACGTTAACATCAAGAATACACTTAAAGCATACACAGCAAGAACGTCTATCCCCAGATAACCTTGACTTATGTAGATTACTCAGTGGCTTGCTTATGCATCACATGTTCTCTCTAAAGTGGGAAGTTATGATAAAAAATAAATTGATTACATGAAAAAAAAAAAACCAAACCACAAAGCAAAACAAAACCAGGACATTTTACTGCCTCAGGAAATAAAACTAAACCATATTATCAGTGCTGAGGTTCTGAAAACAAGCCTGAGAGAGTTCAGAAGTTCAAATTTTTTGTTTTGTTTTCTTAAGATTCCCTTGCAAACTTCAAAATTCTAACTGAATAGTGAAGAAACTGAAATTATGAGTTCTCTCTAATCTATCTTTACTCATGAAATCCAAATCTCCACAAATCCTTATTTTGCAGCAAGCTTCTCTTGCTGCTCTTATACTTCGTCTTCATTTCTAACTGACCCTTGGAATAAATCTACACCAATGCCTTCAAATGGTAATGGGACACGAGTGTCAGTGAAAAGAAAGGTCAAAATGCCCTTCACCAGCCCTTTAGGAGACCTAAGTAGGACAGACGCAGAGTTGCATACATGAATATCATAGTGAATCTTCCTAGGAAGACTCACTCCAGGATGGTTGAATGCCCAGGGAGCCTTCCACAGTTCTTCAAATTCATTTCAGAGTTTCATTACACTGGTGGAAAGATGCAAGCAGCCTTTAACATAGGGGAGAATCTTATGCAGGGCAACTGAGCGCGGTTTTTATCAAAAGGGAGATTATTGCGCCTCAGTACGTGCCTGAGGCTAAATCACGTCTTTCAGTAGAGCTTATTCCTGGCAGCCTGCTGAAGTGCATGTTGCAAGAAAAAGATGGCAAACTCATAGATCCACTCCTCTCCAGCCACTCCTAGAGTCCATGTACATGGAACAATCCCTTGATCTCCAAAATATATGGTCTTTTCTAACCTTTGTATGCAAAGCTGCCACAACTCCTTCTTCCCTTCATTTTCCAGCTCGTCTCCTTTCTTTCCTGCCTACTTAAGGAAATGCTTCAGACAATTCTGTCCAGAGAGCCCAGTGGCTGAGAAATACTGTGATGAGACTTTTTTATCATGATGAACAGCAAACTTCGGCAGTTTCTCACCAAAACTTCCAGTTACCTTAATATATTGATTTTATGGTCAGTGAAAAAAATGTTAATTCCCACGAAATCTAATATCTCTCTCTCACACACACAGATACTCACACAAGCACGCACAAAAAAGGGGAAAGTGAGAAAAGAATAATGTCTCTGTGAAAACTGCTATACATGACAGGCTGTGGTTTCCCTTTGAGAATAAAGGCTACAATTAGATCAAACACAAATCATTATTATTTCAGCAACTCTGGGATTTTCTGTGAAATTGCAGCACTTCATCTGAGAATGAAAATGAGTTGATAGTTATGAAACTCAGGTAATAGGAACCCTGATGATCTCAGCGTTAATAACATCTCTGGTAATGAGTGTGATAGTGAAGGAGCACACCTCCCACCTTGACCAAAAACCTAGGCTTCAACAAACATAAAGAGTCCTTTTAGACAGTTCAAACCCAAATTAAATTATTATGGCTGTAGAAAAAACAATCAACAGAAAATTCTTTTCAGCAATACTCCAGCCTTAAGCTTGTGCTAATTTAAAGCACGATCATTTCTAAAGAACCTGCTTGAAACGGTGTACAAAGCCATGGTGAATCACAGCACCTAATGCAGCTTGTGGGGGTCTGCTGCTTTTCTTGATAGTACTGGGGCATTAAAAATCTTGTTGGCATAAGTCTATGTGTTTTGGCTAAAAGCACAGATCATCAAATTAGATTTTAAATAATTTAAAAAAAAGTCCTTGGTGTACCTTGAAAGTGATTTATGAACATTTCGAGCAGTGAGGCATCTACATGGGAATAACCTATGGAATGTCTGCCTTAAATGTTCCTGCACAACTGAGCTCTAAAAATAATTTTTCCACATACTGTTTGACAAACTTTCATGAAACATACATTTCACTCTTGTTTTGGTATGGCAATTGTAAATGAAATTACGCTCTTGCAAAGTGGGGTATAACCTGCTTTCCAGTTAACAGATCCTCTTGACTGTTAATTCCACAAGTACAGATTTTAACAAGGAATATTTTGGGATTCGCTGACACTGTGGAATATTTCAATAAACTCTTCTAATAATCAGCCTGAAGGTGAAAAGCATGCAAGGTTTTCTGTCATGTGCACTAACAACGTCTTGAAAGCTACCGGAATTGGCTTGAGAAATAATCTCTTCCCACATC